TCTGGAGATGAGACCTTTGATGGTATAGAGATTCCTCAATTATGAAACCGTTAATAAAGCTGTAATCAGATTTTCCAGGCTAGGTTTCATTAATGTATTATAGCTTCTCTGATTGTCAAGGTAATATTAACTACAAAGTACAGAATCCAACAGAGAATTGTTTAGAAGAAGAGAATTCTAAGATGGGCCTTTCTTGCTAAATTCAGAGTTGGGGAATTTTCATTAATTATGCTTAAGAAATTCCAAATTCCCTCTCAACCAGGAATATCTCCCTTTGCACTATAGATACATTCAATATTTAACTCTTTCAGAGGGCTGACAGTCTTACTCAGACAAGCTAGAGTGATATATATTGAAGGAGGTTTTTGTGAGCTGGTCTGCGAGGTCTGCCTCCTGAGCTGAGGATATGCTTGTGACAAGTGAGTTGGGGGCTATGAGAACTTGCTTTAACAAGCATAGCCAGAGCGAATGCCTTTGGGGTCATTTTACAGTCTTAATTCAGAACTTTTATTTTTAGAGTCATATAATTCTGGTCTGGGAATGGATCCTAAGAGTCACTGAGGCTGCCTTCTCCTGGTGCGGAAATCCCTCCCAGAGCATCTGCCTCCATGCTCTTGGAGGCCTGGGCCCCACATCAGCATCATCTCGGCTTCTCCCTCTCCCCTGGCCTCCACAGTGAGTCAGTGGCCAAATTCTGCCTATTCTAGTCCTCTTCCATGACCTCTGCCCTCTCCACGACTCCTGTTCTGCCGGGCTCAGGTCCTCCTCACCTCCTCACCTGTGTGCCCTCCTGACTCTTCCTCCCCCACCACGTCCCACACAGTTATCCCATGCACCTGCCCCACACACATGGGGCTGAAAGAAGGGAGGGCAGAGGAGGCCGATGGCAGAGTGGAGTTGGGTCCCTCAGGGCTGTTTGAGAGCCTAATATTGTGACAGTCTAGATATTGGAACTAAGGCCCATGAGTGGAAATGGAAGGGAACCGGATCTTAGTTCCAAATAGAAAGCTGTGTATCCGTCAGAACTATCTAATGGTGGAATCAGGGACTTTGTGACATGGCGAATACCACGTCTCTGGTGTTGGAGACGCCATGAACATGAAGAGAAAATGGAGACGGAGGCGCAGGTTAAAGGACACATGAATTCTCTTTTAGACCTGTTGAGTTGCAGGTTGTGGCAGAACATTTCTAAGGAAATGTTCTAAAAATTGAGAACTGAAATTCTTCATAGAAGTTAGGGATAGAGATGGAAATCTGGGAGTCATTCACAGAGACAATGGTTGAAATCGTTAATAGAGATAAGATTGCTCAGCACGTGTGCGCACGCGCGCACACACACACACACACACACACCCTGGTGTGTCAGGGAAGGAGAAGCAGGAGCATAATGTCACAGAAACCATGCAAAGAAAGCACTTTAAGAAGGAGCCAGAGGTCGGGGGAGGTAATTACAAGTATCAGATGCTGCTGAGAAGTCAAACAAGTTGCGGAGAGAGAAAGCCATTGGATTTGGGACAGGTGTGATGCCTGTGACCACCTCAATCAATCACCTAGTCCTGGAGATTGTTAAGATTGTTACATGAGAAAACGTATGCAAAGGGCTCTGTGATGCTCAGTGCAAAGGAGATGCTCATTAAATAGTTACTATTCCCACCACTATTTGAAATGAAGGAAGGAAGGGGCACGTCTAATCCTTCATTGGGTCGGGGAGTTGTGTGGGGGGATGATAGTGGAACAGAAACGGCTAGGAAGGCCTGATCTGCAGCATATTTGCTTCCTGATGAGTTTTGGCTTGTTGCTGTCTGAACCAGTGTTCATGGTGGCTGCACAGGTCTTCAGCTAGTGTGCTGCCCTGTGTGTGTGGCACACAGTGACCGCCCCCCCCCCAGGATGGGACAGTGTGTGGGCTGCTGCAGGCCAACATTGTCTTCCTCATGTGGCTCCCTTGCCAGGGCTCTCTAGCTTTCCCTGAACGGATGAGTGCCATAGTTTGAAGAATGAGAGTTCTATTTCCAAAGCAATTAAAGACTTGGCAGAGATGGTCAACTAGCATGCCCATTGGTGTAAATTGGGCTGGAGGGCTTATACCACTCCTTATTTTCCCTCAGGGTCCCTAAATGGCTGTTCAGGATGAAACAGTGACCCACCCCGCCTGATACCACAGCAGCATGCCCCTTTGACACATTATTAAGAAATTATTAAAAAGTGTTTTTAAACTGTTACTTTAACAAAAGAGAGGTCAGAGCCTTTTATATAGCAAGTGGGTACCTATTCATAAATTGCTGTGTGGGTTTTAGCTTCTTCTTTATATAGCTCAGCTCCCAGGTGCCTGAACACTCAATGTAACTACAGGCAGTGAGTCTTGGGCTGAAGTTTCACCGTCAATGAAATGTGATGAAATCTGCCTGTTGCCAAGATCCTCCTTAGAAATCTCTTCCATTTGCTCTGGTTGACACCATAAGTAGTTTGCAAAAGAAATAAGTATGTTCTACCTGATGAAATCAGCCACTGATTCTGCATTTGCATTTGACCTTATTGCAATCGCTTGAGTTTTCACGTTGTGACCTTCTCACATGTTAACTGGCACAACTTGAGCAGCCATCTTGGCAGACATACAGTATCTTCTAAGGCAGGAGACAAAGGGTTTTTTCATCCATTATTAATTGATGTTACTCTTTTTAGCACACCAAACATGATTTTACTGTACAGCTGCCAAAATTGTTCCAGACCCCAAAAGAATAAGTCATTCTTTCACAAGCATTTCTTATTATTTACCTAACTTAACAAATGTTTCCTTTAGTTTTTCAGCTCCTTTTCAGGGGACTAGTCATTTATATATTAATTGGTATATACCAGTTGACTATTTTTTATGAACAGTGCTCCCAGCCATTTTAGTGTTACTGGGGCCAACTCCAAGAAATGGTCTTATTCCAAGAGTGTTGAGAGGTTTGCCAAAAGAGCAAGTGAGCCTCTGCACCATTCTGCATCATCCCCAGGGTGTGATCACAGGCTAGGAATTGAGTGTCTTCCAAGGTCTCCCTTTGGTGTCCTACAGTTATTATTGGAAGTTTGATTTTTGTTCCTCTCTTTGAACCTCGCTTCCCCTTACTCATATCCCTGTGATTTGTAGGTATCCAACTGGTTTGGCAACAAACGAATCAGGTACAAGAAGAATATCGGCAAGTTTCAGGAAGAAGCCAATCTCTACGCTGCAAAGACAGCCGTGACAGCTGCACACGCAGTGGCCGCAGCCGTGCAGAACAACCAGACCAACTCGCCCACCACGCCAAATTCTGGTGCGTACGGGCGCTCACTCCCTACTCAGCTCAGGCAGCCTTATGCCACAAAGCCCTGTCCCACAGACCAGGAAACAAGAGCCATACTGGGGACACAGTGGACTTATAAAGGAAGATTTATATTAAAATGCAGACTTGTTCTTAGGGTGGGTGAATGAGTGGATAGCCAGAGCCTGTAGACCCGCTATTCACAGTGAGTGCCACTCCGTACTGTTAGATTCTGGAACTTTCACACTTAGCAGTGTTTTTAATTCAGCAGTTAAGCAAAGTGCTATCACTAACGATTATTTTAACTATATTGTTCCATGTGTCATTTTAAAATCAATAGTGGTCTGTCAAAGAACGAATGAAATAGAAGTGGGAGATTTACCTGTTGCTGTGAGTAATGAAGCTGGTATGTTGGGGTTAGGACAGCAGGGCTTTCTACCTGATGTAGCTGCAGAGTCGAGTCTGCTGTCCTTACATCTCCTTAGCAGCTGTGCTGACTTGGTAGGCTCAGCATGTGGTTAGCTGATCAGGATGTGGTTAGCCGTGAGGGGTATGGTACTTAACACATGGATGCAATATCTTGGCTGCTCATACAATACATTTTGGCCAGATTTTATGTGGCATTTTTTGATGGAGTTGGAAACATCTTAAAATTAGAGGGAACTTGAGTAGCAATGAAAGATGTGCGGCTAGTCCAAACAGATGGACTTGAGAAACAAAACAAGGGACTTTTCTAAGGAGATAGTTTAAATATATCTTTAAAAATTCAGAAAGTGAGGGGTTTTTTGTTTGTTTTGGTTTGTTGTCGTCTTCCCCCCAGCCCCAAGTTCTTTTTTTTTTTTTTTTTTTTGCGGTACGCGGGCCTCCCACTGCTGTGGCCTCTCCCGTTGCGGAGCACAGGCTCCGGACGCGCAGGCTCAGCGGCCATGGCTCACGGGCCCAGCCGCTCCGCGGCATGTGGGATCTTCCCGGACCGGGGCACGAACCCATGTCCCCTGCATCGGCAGGCGGACTCTCAACCACTGTGCCACGAGGGAAGCCCCCCCGCCAAGTTCTTTTTAATGGAGCGTGGAAACTGATGAAAGTTAGGCAGAGCGTATGGCTTGGAAAGAGCTTGAGAAAAATGTTTCTTCTCTGGGTAATTGTCCACCATGACAGTTAATGATGATGAAGAGCTCACTTAATGACCAAGTCCTGGAGATAAATGAAAACAAGGGGATGGTTCCAGGCCAGATGCTGGGTGTTTTTCTGTTCGTTTTGATTCTTTCTTTCGTATGTGGGCTTCCCCATTGATAGGACTTTCCTAGATGCAAAATGAATCACAGGACCTAACTCCTTGGAGTTATTCTCCGTCCTCCTAGATCTAGAAATGCCTTATGTTGTACACAACCTTTCCCTTCTGTACCTTTTCTCCTTTCCCTGCCTCTAGGTCTTTGAGGATTATGTGTGTAGCTCTCTGTTATTCAGCTACTTAACTCTTTCCTTTCCAGGTTCTTCTGGTTCTTTTAACCTCCCAAATTCTGGGGACATGTTCATGAACATGCAGAGTCTGAATGGGGATTCTTACCAAGGGTCCCAAGTCGGAGCCAATGTGCAATCACAGGTAGGAGAAATGCCCCCCTGGGGCCTTTCTAGCAGGGTAGGGTTTGGGCTCAAAACTCCTGACTCTCAACCCGTGGAAGTGGTCTGCACACCGTGCAGACCCTGTGCTGGGTGCTTCCGGACGTTACCATCTGCCCCAACATTTAATTTAATGAGAAGTCAAGTGAACAGTGGCTTTGGATGATTCAAACCTGATAAACTTTGTGAATGCATTCGGCTCTGGCTTGAGCTCATGGAGAGGGATTGGGTGCATACTACTTTCGTGACAAAATAGAACAGAAAAATTGTGTGTGCCAGTGTGTGTATGCTTTTAAAATATATTACTCTGTTTCATTTCTGTATTTTATTTTTTTAAGTCAGAATACAAAAACCTGAGTTCTTAAAGTATATTCCAGGTTCACCTCTTTTTCTCATCCTCTTACTGGAAAGCAGCTACTTGTTTTTATGCACGTGGGAGTGTGTGCGTGTGTGAGAGGGTGAGCCAGTATACATATTTATAAGTAGTTTCACCCACAGCCATGCTCATTTGGCTGGTGTAGATGCAAAGTTTGCATGGCCATGAAGATGTTGTTGTTTGGCTGGCATGAAAAACAAAGATGTGCGAGTTTAAATATGCAAAGAATTGTTGAAATTCTGCCAGTCACATTTGATTGATAAATTTGTCTTTCATTCAAGATGCTAAACCCTGGTGGCACACATGATTCAAATTGTTTCCTTTTGTAAGTCGTGATGTTTTAATAGATTTGGGATGATGAATTTTGTTTTGTCTCACTTCTAGGTGGATACCCTCCGTCATGTTATCAATCAGACGGGAGGCTACAGTGATGGCCTTGGAGGAAACTCACTGTACAGTCCACATAATTTAAATGTGAGTACTCTGGGGAACCAGATTTGAAGAAATGTAGGAACAGCGTCAGGTAAACAGTGGCTAATAAATAAATTAATGGCCATTTTACTTGGCTTCTCATCTTTTTGGCAGGTGGGGAAGGCAGCATTTTTAGTGTACTTTTATTTTATGAACCTAAGCACTGATGTTACCTTCATGCCGTTAGAAGTCCTCACAGAGGCCCAGGGTGGCTGGCATTCTGTCATCAATAGAGACTTAAGCATCAGCCCATTAAGATGCTATCTCCCACTGGCCGTGCTGTGTTCCAGGGAGATGGTGAAAAACAGGTCATTTATCTTAGACTCGAGCAGCAGGAAAAATTCCCAAACACAGCTCAGGTGAAGGGGAGGAGGGCCCCAGACAGATCAACAAACCAAGCTAAACAAAGACTCCTGTTCTTAAGAGTAACTTGCTGTATTGTCAATGTGGGATGCAAAACACCTCCAGCATTTTCCACGGCCTCTCAGTTAAGTACGGAGGAAATAATTTTAACTTTAGTAACCAATTGACCAGAACTTCACTTTTCCCCCCGCCTGACATGGATGGAAAATGGCAAACTCACAGCACCTAAAGGGGAGCTGCGGGGACTGGGTCCCCAGGGTGGAGTGGTGGACAGAATCTGGTACTCCAGACTAGGGAGGAAACGAACTGCCCAACACATGGTAGTAGAGTCAGAAAGAAAACAGACAGAAGTCTTCCTTTTTGAGGCCTAGCTTTCTATGAGAGTAAATATTAATGATTTAAAAAGTGATTGAGGATGTTCAATTGTAAAAGGAAAACAGGACCATTAAATACTCAAATCTTCTACATTTGAAATGTCAAATCTTTCTTTTTGGGTTTATAAATAACTCGTAATAACCCACAACAAACCATATAAAAAGCCTTTTAGTTGCATTTCTCCTTTTTCATTTAAGTGTTTTGAAATGCTTCAGAGAATGTGCGATATCCTTATCAACATGATAAAATATGAAACTGTGATTGCCTGCAGCATTTTACAGACATGAATTCCATCTTCGCTGATGAGGCTTGATAAGGCGCTGTTGTATAATACAGTGCATAATCTCAAACCACCAGAGTAAGGATTAATTTATTTTGAAAAAAAGAATGCTTGCTGACAACCTCTCCTCCAGCTGCCACGCTGGGTAAAAATATTGTACATTTGTTGTTTATAAATTTGGATAAAAGAGGAATGATGTTTACTTCAGATGGAATATCTTTAGACTTGTATCTGTGTAAGAGATTTTCTTTTTCTAAGTATATTTTCATACCTGAGTGGTGAGAACAGCTTACCTATTAGATAGAGGAGAGGATTTCTTCGAGTCCACACAAACACACACGCGCTTGTCACCATCCAACCTGCACAGCTGAGGCTTTGAAGATCAACCGCCATAGCTTTTTTTTTTTTCCTAACCTGGATTTGATACACCTAAAGCCTGCAAAATCCTTCTGCCTTCGGCTCTGGTCATCTCTGTGTGGTTCTTTGGTCCCTCTCTCTCCCCCCTCCCCACCATTTCTCTGTGGACCTAGAGGGAGGAAAGGTGCTTTATATGCAGGACTGTGCAGTTAAGCCGAAGACAGGGTTCCCTAAGAACAGCACATTGGGAGAAGGAAAAATTCCCAGCCCAAGGCTGGGCGAGGAATCTCAGTAGCCTAGCAGCGCAGGCCTAAAAAGAAGATATTTTGGATGGACTCGTAGAACAAGTTGCAGACGGATGTGAGGGAGTCAGGGGGACCTTCTGCCCCTCACTGGCACTGGTGTGGGAGGTATAGGTCTGGGGGCAGCACAGCACGGGGCTGGTCTGTGCCGCAGGCACTGGGTGGCAGAGAGCTCACCCTCGCCTTCTCTCCAGAAAGGCCCGCCCCGTCACTTCCACTCAGTGTTCCCCAACTCACAAGCCCAGCACCTCCCTCTTCTTGACTGACATAAAAATATGTAGCGACAAGCTGTCTGCCACAGCAGAAATCTGATCAGACATTGATTTCAGCAATTGCCTCTATAGGCCAAGACATAAGGCAAATTTGTTTCTGAGCACTGTTACTGCGGATGCAGGTCTGAGGCAGGAAGGGCCAGTGGCATGTGAAGAGCGGTAGCAACATCTCAAATAGGAGCCCCAGTTACAGATAATTGGAATCCAGATTTGAATAGTGTGTGCTCCTCCACAGTTCATGCATTTTCATTCTGCAAGATCCTATTTGGAGGGAAATTCTGGCCTTCATTTTCCAAGGGTTATAGTAGCTGGCTGTCAGTCTTGTATAGAAAAGGGGCCTGGGGGTGGATGGGCTTCTTCTCTATGGAAACGAGGATTAAGCTGGGTTGAAGTTTATACTTTGTGGAGCCCAAGGTCTTGCCAGAGCATTGCTTTGAGCTTCTCCACTGCGCGCTTCTTATAAGATTTTTCTTCAAGTCACTTGATTTTTATCAGCAAATCAAAGGCCGAGCTTCGTGCCAGCTTGAGACCAGCTGAAGCCCTCCTTCAGTGTGCTGATTTATTGCCAAGTCTTTACTTGGTAGGATGGATTTGTTTTACATGCATTTAATCCCACTTTAACACATGCTTCAAACTCCTGCCAAAGTGGGTTTAGAAAATACATTTTGCTAATGCATCTTTGCTCTCATGTTGTCATCGGGGTATTTTCAATTGGGGAGGAGAATTAATATGTAGACGTGCACCCGTTGAACTGTGCTTTCCCTTTCAGGCTAATGGAGGCTGGCAGGACGCAACAACTCCATCTTCTGTGACTTCTCCTACAGAAGGCCCAGGAAGTGTGCACTCTGATACCTCTAACTAATCTCTGGCAACACTTTTCCCTGAGCTGACATGCCTTGATAAGTGCATTCAGAGCAATAGGAGGAAAAGGAAAGCGTTTTTGTAGCCCACCATCTACAGCTTTACTGTAAAACCTTGTCTTATTAGAGAACTTGGTAAATCTGTTTTTTAAGGAATCATAATCATTTGTATTTATACTTAAAAACACACAATGTTAAAAAAGCACTTTATCCAATTAGGCCAAGATTTAACATTGTTGACAGTCCTATAGCTATTTTATCATAATTTATTATCAATATTTTACATTAATGGTTTCTCACTTGCCAATTACTTGGCCTTAAGGGTAAAAAGTACAATATATGCTAAACCTCAATGCTAAAGCAGATACAAAGACTCACCTCACCTAAATTGAACTTCTTGCATATTTCCATTGCAGACTTTGATTGTCCTTCTTTCATATCACTAATGGAGTTGGAATAAAGGAGCTGTTTGGCTACCTGTTAATGATGGTTGTGTTTAAGAATCTTCCTCGTCACACTTGGGTTTCGATCTCCTATGTTATAATTAGATCAGAGACCGGTAGCATCTTTTCTCTCTCTGAAAGCACCAGTGCCCAGAGTCTGCTCGGTAATTAAATTATGGATCCAGACTGTTTTGAGAGCTGAAGATACTTGCTGCTGATAGAGATGACCACGAGATCCGTCTGGGGTTTTATGGTGTGCACTGGGTGCTGCACAGACTTGTCAAGGTTTGCTATGTCCTCTGGGCATTCGCAAAGGCCCTGTTCTCTGGAGTGTTGTATATAGTGTAGCAAAAGAGTATTTATACATCTCACCAATCAAAACACAGCTTTATTACCTCATGCGAACTCATACAAACCAATAGAATTTCAACATGTTCTGTAGCTTAGAGTGCTCACTTACTACCTCTGAACAATACTCACGCTGTAGTTTGTCTCTTTCTTATCTTTTTGCATCTTGTAATTTACTCTTTGTTTCCCTTCATAAAATGTAATGTACATTGTAATCTTTTAAAAGAAAAATCAGGGTTGCGTTTGCAACTTTTAAAAAACCAAGAGTGGAAACATTGGGTCTTAAATTAACACAGGATCAGTAAAACTTGTAAATACTGAGAAACATTTTGAATGTTCTTCATCTTGTTACTAATCCATGCAAAAAAAAAAAAAAGCGATGACTAATTGTGATGCATTCAGATTTCAGTATTCAGTACTGTATATTTCACCCTGTGTAATGGGGCCCCCTCTCCTTTCTCTCTTTTTGTATTGTATGCGATTCTGAAACTGATTGAGTCATGAAAATAATTTGTGGCGGTGATTCTAATGTATTAAAAACGTTTCGTGTTCCTTTCTAACTGGATTACACCCTGGATTGAAAAAGTCTTCCTCGTGGTAGTTATATGTAGTTTCAAACATGAATAAACTTTTTGCTTTCATGATTAAATGTTGATGCAATTTCTTACCCCACCTGGTGAGCCAGTCAGTGCAGGCAGAGGAGAAGGCCTGCCCAGAAGTCAGTCTGAGCATGTAAACGTGTGGCCTGTCAGAGAGGGACTCAGAAACCAAGGTGAGGCTGAGAGTGGCTGACTACACTTTCTGCAGGCTCCCAGCCAGTTCCTGGACCACCGTCACATGTCCTCGCTTGATACTTACGCTCTAAGAATACCACAAGGAAAATATCATCCCCATTTTCACAGATTAGGAAACTGAAGTTCATAAAAATAGATGCCACAAGGTGAAAGACCTAGGACAACAAGGGCCACGCTTGGAACCCAGGTCTGTGTGTGTCCTTGGAGCTGACACTCTCCTGACTTAATGATGCATCCAGCATCTGTTGGATGGAAAGACCTGTTTGATAATTTTAAAATAATTATCAGTCTTGTCATATTCACTTCCTTGCTTTCATAACTTCTGTGAGATACGGGTTAAGAACAAGCAAAAGTTTGTCCCAAAAGAGTGAGCTTCCAAGGCCATAAAAAAACCAAAAAGCCACAACTTCTCATAACATACCTTTGAAAACTAAACTTCTAAAATGTAAGACCAACTAGAAATCCTTTAACCAGATTAAACATTGTTTTTGTTTTATTCACATTGTCAGCAACTCCATGTATTTACATGTACATCTGTCGCAAATATCTAAATCTTTGTAATAAAAGAAGTCAATAGCAGGTAATTGGCCTGTTTACTATATCTCCAGGAAATTGACTCACAGGAAATCAGATTAATGTTAATCAGTTGCAGCAAATTGTCTCTGATAAATACAACTGTTTTACTATTTCAGTTTGTAAAACAAGGTCTAGGGCCACCATTCCCATTAATCCTGAGGCAGTTACACTTTACAAAATAGATTGCCCTCCAAAGCTGTCCTCCCTCACAAGGGCTCTCAGCCTGCCTGTAGGAATCTCTCCCATGGCTAAGTAGTTACTTGCGTGATTCAATTAGCTTATGGGTCAGCCTTTCTTATCTTTGTACATAAAACAATCGCTATGCTATGTGGTTTTGCAAAAATATCCTGTGGAAACCAGACACACATGCACACACAGACACATCTTTAAAGTCCAGAAACACACACTTCCTAAGAACCATCTCAGGTCTCCTCTCAGGCCAGCCTACTGAGAGAAGCACATACCGGTGTTTGCTGGAAATTCACACGATGCATCTTTCCATTTAGGGAAAGATGTGAATATAAGGCTTTATTCAGAGGAGGTCTCAAAAAAAACAGTAATTCCTTTCCTAAAAGCTAATTTGGGAGGCCCTTGTATATAATCCCCTTCTGCTCTTCAGTACCTCTCTAGCAGAGGCCAGTGGCACCCTCACTTCATAGATAAGGAAACTGAGGCATGGCTCGGACCCCAAGGCTCTTAGGTCTCCCTCTAATTGGGTGAAATGTGTTGATTTGACAGATTTTCACCAGGTACCCTTTCTGGGGCAAGCAATGGTTTAGGATCTAGACGCGAGCACAATGAAATCAGGCCCTAGACCTCAGGAGGCTAAGATCCTGGGCCTGGGCCTTATTCAGAAAGCAGTGTGAGGATGCTGGAGAGGCCGATAGGTTTTTTTTTTCTTTGTTTTACATTTTTTAAAAATAAATTTATTTTTGTCTGCATTGGGTCTTTGTTACTGTGTGTGGGCTTTCTCTAGTTGCGGCGAGCGGGGGCTACTCTTCGATGTGGTGCGGCCTTTTCATTGCGGTGGCTTCTCGTTGCAGAGCACAGGCTCTAGGCACAAGGGCTTCACTAGTTGTGGCACACGGGCTTCAGTAGTTGTGGCTCGCAGGCTCTAGAGCACAGGCTCAGTAGTTGTGGCGCACGGGCTTAGTTGCTCCACGGCATGTGGGATCTTCCCAGACCAGAGATGGAACCCGTGTCCCCTGCTTTGCCAGGCGGATTCTTAACCACTGCACCACCAGGAAAGTCCCGAGGCTGGTAGGTTTCTGAACCCCGAGACTGGAAAAGTGAGGCTCCCACACCCTGTTCACAAGGTCAAAGAATATAACAGCAGGAAACCACCTGGAACACCCAGTTGCAGGCTAAAGGGCCTGTCTACGCATCCAGTTAGAGGCACAAGGGCACATGTGTGCTTCTATGACACTATGTTGTTACCGAACCAAACTTGGGTCCACTGACCTGTGCACAGTAAGGCCAATCTACTGACACCGGGCTGTGATGAAGGGAAGCGCAGCATTTATTTCAGGGCGCCAAGCAAGGAGTTCAGGACAGCTAGTGCTCAAAAAGCCCCAACTCCCCAGCGGGTTTCAGCAAAGCATTTTTAAAGGCCAGGTGAGGGAGGGGTATCCCAGGGTAAGTGATCGACTCATGCGCAATTCTCCGATTGGTTGATGGTGAGGTAACAGGGTGGTGTCACAGGCGTTAACTATCAATCCTTAGGCTCCAGCAGGTGTGAGAGCTACGTGCTCATGATCATCAAGTAGTTAATTTCTTCCATTTGGTAGTGGTTTTAGCATCTGTGAAACAACTCAGGAAATGTGTGTCAGATACTGTTCTCTAGGTCCTTCAGCGAGGAGCTACAGCAGAGGCTGTGAGGAGGAGTCTGTCCCGGCAAGACCTGCTTGGTTACACTTTCAGGACTTTCTGGAGCCCAAGTGCCTGAGAAGCTACACGTTGGACAGGAGGTACTCAGGCAGCATGGGAGCCTCTGAGGACAGTGGACCAGGCAGCCTTGCAAACTAGGTTAGAACTTGTCTGTAGCCCTGACCCAGGTGGCAGCCTGGTGCCAGTCCCTGGCCAGAAGCCGAGGAGGGCAGGGCGGGGTTTGAGAGCAGCACCCTCCCTGCGTGGAAAAGGTGACCTGGGGCTAAGTCTTCCATGTGGGGAGGTGTTTGGGGTGTAAAGTACGCATTGGTGCTGCGGGAAAGGGACCTTCTCCAGGCTGACAGCTACAGCTCACGAGCATCTCCTGTGAACAGCCCTCAGCCAGGTGCTTTCTATGTTATTTAACGCCTATGGAGCCCCATGTCATGGGTGCTATTATCCCATCTTCAGTTGAGGAACCTGGGGCTCAAGGAGATGACATCACCTGTCCAGGATCTCCCACAGAGCTGGTGTTTGCCCTGGGAAGGCCCCATGTGACACTTTCAGCAACCACTTGTAGTGGGACAGAAAGAGGCTCCTGTGAGCTTGCAGTGGATAAAAGGGAACGTCCAGTGTAAGGTCCCTTTCTGGGGCGACGTGACCAGGGGAATCATCCCCTGCCCCCCATATCCTTAGCGCTTGCAGCCCTCCTACCTCTGTCTCCATTGCCTGGGCCACCAGAGTATGTGTGTCCTGTGGTGTGGACAGGACGTGTGTCACAGACTGTGTGTGGTCCTTTCCATGTCTATGGATCACAAAGTTGGGTGTGAGGGACAGGAAGAGCCCTCTACTTGGGCTGGGCTGGGCCTTGCACCGTAACTAAAGGAGGCAAACAGACCCGGGAAGGTAGCTGTCGCGATGCATGGGAAGAGCTGAGCACAAGGCTGGGGCACGCCCCTTAAACGTACCTGTGCCCCGTGGGTGCCGTTCCAAGTCCTAGGCTGCGTGCAGCTTAGCCCTGGCTCCTGGCCCTTCAGCCCACTGCCCACACGGCCCACTCTGGGTTCGAGCAGATCCCACCCCCAGGCACAGATTTGAATCCTGGCTCTGCCTCCGCCCAGCTGTGTGACCTTGGGTGAGGGACTTAACCTCCCTGAGCCTCAGTTTCCTCATTCTCTCTTCTCAGAACATCCTCTGTACCTGTCTCCTTGGTGAATGCCTGTCCTTTACGGCTGAGCCCAGACTACTGTGTCCTCCTATGGAGCCAGGCCCTTCCTTCTTCCTCGTGTAGTGCTTTATCTCCCCTGCTGGACGTCCAAGCAGAGACCTACAGGAGGAGAATCAGGAAGACAAAGAGTGAGTTGGGGGGTAGGGGATAGAGGATCAGAGGAGGGAGGACCAAGCAAGGGGAAGAGCGTGTGCAAAGGCCAGGGGGCATGGCGAGCGGAAATGTCAGAGGTGCCACCGTGGAGGCTTGCTCACTCCCTTCCCAGGATCTCTCCAAATCCTCACAGCAGCCTCATGAGGAAGGTTCTATCATTCTCTTCACTTTACAGATGAGGAAACTGAAGCTACTTGGCCAAATACACATGGAGATGGAACATGAGTCCGGGTGTGTCTGAAACCAAAACCCACATTTTCTGCTCTTTGTGCCTGGCTGTCTTGTCAGGGTCTCTTTCTTGTCATGCTGGGCAGGCTCACTGTTGGTGAGCCTAAGGCGGGAACTGGGCAGAGAAGGGGACAGATGCCAGCCCTTCCCCCCAGTCAGAGCCATTGGCTCTTCTCCCCAGTGGCCGGGGATCCCAGGGACCCCGTCGGGAGGCTGCTGTGTCCACAGGCACTTCAGGCCAATGAACAGCCTGCAACACATCCCTCCCTAGGCCTGGGGACCCAGCCTCATGGACAGCAGGACCATCATCCCCCAGCCCTGATGACTCAGCAGTCACAGACTCAGCTGTCATGCACGGAGCCTGCTTCCAGCTGGGCCCCACCAAGTGCATTGCCGGGAGGTACACCGCCCAGCCAAGTGGGTACTAGCCCCATCACAGAGACAAAAACAGATGTCCAGGGGTTCTACGTGGCCCCATGGCTAGAAAAGCGCCGTGACTTAGCACTTATGAATGGATGCTTCTAGTGAGACCACCCGGGTGGAATCTGGGCTCTGCCTCGCACCGGCTGTGTGTCCTTGGGCAAGTCCTGTAACCTCTCTGTGCCTGTTTCCTTTGCTGTCAAGCACCTACCTCCCAGCATCGTAGGGAGGATCAAGTGAGTCGGTACAGGTGAAGTGTCCTGCATGTAGCAGGGGCTGAGGTCAGCCGCTCTTATTACCTATTAGTCCACAGCTTGCCCTGTGCTGATGATTTGCACTCAAATTCCAGCTTGCATCCCCCTTCACTCACTGTTAGGAAAACCC